TCCCCTTCCTAGTACACTATTGATAGTCAGCCATGTTTGTTTACAATCTTTACTATATTCTTGAAATTTATCATTAAAGTATTTTTTTCGTGCTGCCCTCACAAGGCGAGTATACACTGCATTATATTCTTTAAATCTAGATTTAGTTTCCTGACAGGGTTTCCTCAACTTTTTATTAAACAATTTGGCTTTACGTTTTCTCGATATTATCAGTGCTTCAGACATCCAAGGGTTAAAAGGTCTATTTTTTCTGGAAGGATTTACATTTTTTTCAGGGAATGAACATTCGAAACAGTTATCAATCGAATCAAAAAAATTATTAAATGCACTGTCCTGATCTCTATTCAGAAGAACATTTTCCCAATTTTTATCTTCTAACATTTTTTTGAATTTAAAAATAGACTCAGAGTCAAACTTTCGAGTTTTCTGTTGGGACTTTTTTTCTATGAATTTATCTTTAAAATGTCGAATATAGAAAACAGGAAAATGATCAGAAATATCTGAAACAATAATGGTACCGTTGTAAATCGGACATTGTCATCTTTGCATACAGGGTCATTTGAAATTAGACTTACAGTCCCTTTAATGCGCTATACTGAGTCCTGGTTTAAATTAATAAATTATTGATGTTTAAAAAAAAAGATGTTTTAAAAAATACATATTTTTGTTCATATATGAATTATATTTGTACCAAGTTTCTGGTTTTGTATCACTGTAGAACATCAAGGCCTGCTTTGCACCACTCTCATTCCTTCGTCTAGATATTTAAACAACCATTTTTAGACAGTCGTCTTCCTATACATTAATACAATAAAGACGACTTCCTATCTCAATTTTTATTTCTACCAAGCTTTCAAACACCAGAATTATACTTAAACATTTAAACAAACAGAAGACCTCTCGTCGATTGGTTTACTAGTAAACTTGATATTTAAAAATGCTTGCAAGGGATCAAATCAATATTAATAAAAAGTCGTCTTTAATATATTGATATAATCGCCGACCAGTGCACATATTTTCACAATTTTCAAATTTTTTTGGACCATTTTATAAATTTATTTACAATTTTATATCTGCATAGGATTAGTTTTATTTTATATCAGAACAAAGTTTAGAAAAAAACATTTTTCTCGTTTACACTGCCGGCAAACCGGACTTCTATTTTTTGTTAAATAATTCACTATTGCAAGGGAAAAAAATACCTAAAAATTGAACAATCTGAGTGTTGAAAGATTAGAATTGAATATAGAACTTTTGAAATCGAAAAAGTTCGTTAATAATTTATTAAATTTCAAAATAGTGGCACAAAGCTAATTTTTGAGACAGATATTTGCATGATTAAAAAAAAAATTTGTCTTAGAAAAAATAAATTAAAACATTCGACAAAACTCTTATATACATAATCACAAGACATCCAAGATAATTTAAGGGGGGGGGTCCAATTCTTAAAGAAGGTAAAAATCAGACTTAACATACCGATCAATATAGTTCAACATATATATATATATATATACTTTTTTTGTCTGTCTGCTTGTTGGTTTGTTTGGATAAACGTCAAAACGGCTAAACCTTTCCGGCCGTAATTTTTTGTGGGACCTCACATGACCCCAGGAATGGTTTATGAAACATCAAAATTGAAAAAAAATTCTTGAAAATAGTTTGATTTTTTTAAGTGCGCCAATTCGAAAAGAAAAATCCACCAAAATTTAAAATTTCTTTTAAATGGTCGACTTTCAGAGAAACGAATAAAAGCTAATTTTTAAACAGGGACGCGAAGCGCCCATAAATCTCATGAATACATATACCTTTATGTTTTATATTTAGGATAATTGAACAATATTAAATTGTTTATTATTTTTCTATTAAATTGTTTATTAAAAATAAATTCCTACCTAAGAAGCCATGAAGGAGAATCTTTAATAAATAGGAGTAAACAAAAAGATAAAGAAGGAGGGATCATTGATATGAGTACCACAGTTCTCCAGGGCAGGGAGGCGCCTTTCAAAAGATTAACCATTTACAAAGTGGCATGTCCAATTTACAAGAGTACTCTTTTAACCTTTATCTAAGCTGAAAACTTTTGAATGGGATATCTTTAATCCTGATCGGTTAATTAATCTGGAGATAAATAACAAGAGGAGAACAAGCCCTATTTAAAGAAAAAGAGTGGATTAAGCATTAATCCCGATATCCACAATTCCCTGCTTTAATCAATACCGTGTAGGGGTTTGAAAGTTTTAATTCTAAAAGCTTGCTTTTTTCTCTCCGAGCATTATCAGTTTTAATTCACATTTAAGTTAATTAATTATTTAGAAGTCTAAAGGGTACCATGGTGAATCGGAAACTTGAAATTACGTCTACAGTCTCTTTAAGGTTGTTTGGTAATTTTCCGAGTGGCAACTTCTCCAAGGTTAGGTTAGGGGGGCCGAGCGCTGCGGCTCAACAGACTTGGGAAGATGTCGCCTGGGATATTAAACATTTAGGAAGTTATTATTTGGAAAAATACCCTTGAGAAGTTGGAAGTTGGGAAAATGCCTTTGGGAAAGTACCTATCGTCTGTTTAACAAGTTTGTATTATGCACTTGAATATAGTACGGTGGTGAGCGATTATATCAATACAATGAAGACGACTTTCGACTTAAATTTTGATTTATAACAAGCTTTTACACAGAATAGATACACAATAAATGAAAACAGAGAGAAGCTGTCAATTTAAAAAGCTTCTCTTTGATTACTTATAAACTTTTAATTCTAAAAAAGCTTGTAAACAATATAAACTTTAATAAAAAGTCGTCTTCATTATATTGGTATTATCGCCTACCACCGTATGTAACTTAAATTAATGGAATTGAGGTCATGAGAAATATATTTTCAAATGCAAAAAAAAAATCCGATTGTTCCTACTTTTTTTGGCTTTTAGGGCCTCCCAAAACAGTATAAAAGGTCTGAATCAATTAAGAAATTTTGTTTTATTACAAAATGCAAAAATTGACAATGCCAAAAAAAAACAATAGTTTTATCAGAATTTCACCATCTTGCATTATCTACAAAAAAAACTTTTAGAACAAATATAATTTAAAACCGCAAGAAAGAGCGATGAAGAATTTTCAAGATGAAAACTTAAAATCTTACCAAGAATCATGGAAAGTGTGAAACCAATATTATGATTTATGATGAATAAGCTCCCTGTAAAACCTTTACAAAAAAGAAATTTAAAATGAGCTATGCATTATATTTGATTAATCAAAAAAAACATTCCTCGGATGGACGGATGTGATATTTCTCCAACAAAAACCGGAACAGAGACATAGTTGCTTCCGGTTGAGTATCCTAAAAACAAAATGTTTGTTATAACAAGAAACAAATTTATGAATCAATATGAACTAGACTATACTAGACGTTTTTTAGCAGAAACATCCCAAACTGCAGTTATTGCCAGAAAGGTCGAAAATCCTAGTTCAGCCCCCCCCCCCTCTCAGATGATGACACTCCTAAATCAGTTGTCTAGTTTAACTACCCAATTTTAATTTTTAATCCCGTTCCCGTATGCACGCAACTTTTCATTTTTTATGCCGCGTTCTTGCAGTTTTTTACAGAGAAGCAATACAAAATTTTCAATGCACTAAAATAGTGTTATGTAAGAAATGAAAGTTTTTTTAAAGGTTTTAAAAATTATGACATTCACAATTAACTATTAGATACTACAGTTTAATTTCATATCCGAATTTTTTTTTAATCCATGACATAGACGTAAAACATCAAATAGTGTTTTGAAGGACCGTCCCTTCGTGCTCGTATTATGAACGAAAAATCGGCTTTTTCTCCGACCACAGTTGTCTTTGAAAAGTAAGACCAGTACTAATCAATAGCTAATAAGCTATTTAGTTTATCCTGAAATTACCCAAATAAGTGAACGGTTTCTTTAACTGTTATAACAAATGAGCGATAATTAGAAACTTCATAATCTCTTAATGGATTTTAGGTTTCAGCATAAAATTGTTTGTTTTAAAATTTGTAGAATTGTTCTTGATCTGATTATGGATCTAATTTTAATCCAGATTCCAGATTCCAGATCCAGATCTGGGTCTGCAATAAAGCATTGGTTCCGACAGCATTGAAATCACCTGTAATAATTCTGCCTAAAAGAATGAGTGGAAGAGAGTTAGTTAGACTGACCAGAAGAGAACCAATGATATATCCCAGACAATCCACCATCAGACTCTTCCTACTCCCAATCCTCTCAACCAAATATCCTCCACCAATCACAGATCCAATCACACAGCCGAGTACATGGGAACTAGCTAGATTAGACTGTATTGAAGAGTAATGAAATCTAGAAAACTCTGAAAGTTAATCTTCAAATGTGTCTCTACTTTAACGCCTTGGCCTTTGATTATATCCTCACCAACTTACTTATACATTTTGTAGCCATTGACACATACATTTCAAAATTATATTGCGCTTCTTTCTAGCTTAACTTTAAAAGGAATAATTTGCAAAATACTGATAGATTTTTGCCTGAGAGAGACATATTGGTTCTGCAGTGAGATTCCACGGTACCACGCAAAGAGTGAGACTGTAAAGACAACATTAAACTCGTAAAATATGACGATCCAAAGTTTTCTGTCTTGAAAAAAGTCTTTTAATGGTTTGCTTGTTGATTTGACACAGAAAGGAATGTGTTTACAGTTGCTTGCAGAATCCAGAATATCAGAAAGAGACAGAATAAATACCGTACAGTCGTCTTTGAGGCCTCAAACCCTGAACACTGTTGTTGACACAAATAAAAGAACAACAGGGATATTCGGTAACTTTATTGAATAATAGCATGAAATGAGAAATAAAAGAAAAGTTTAAAAATATTGGCCCTTAATTGGGAGTATCTAAACGGTTGAAAATGAAATAACATTGATTAATAGTGTTGAAAGGAAAGGAAAAGTTGGAGCTTCATGATGGTCAGCTCACAGGTGTCAGCATCTTGGCAGCAAAGGGTTCACATCTAGGCGACGGTCCTGGAGAGTTTGCAGTCTGGATTATGTGTAGGGAGGAACTTGAATTGCCTCTCAACCCCGGGACATGCGACTGCTTTGTGAATTTGGACATGATGGACGCTTAGACATTAGCAGCATTTGTTGCTAGAGTAGACATCGGCGGCAGTATGAAGGAGTTAGTAGTTCCAGATCAGAGGTGTTCACATCTCGACATTCTAAAGCTAACTGACGCTGTTCCCCACAAGTAGAGGCGGTAAGGGGGGGGGGAACATGAGGAGACACATTTGGAGCGGATATAGTATTGTAGTATTGTGAATCTTCCGCGGTCAACTTCGCTACACAGTAGTAATCGTCTTCGTGTTTTCTTGAATTTGTTAACAACTGTATAGTGTACACATACACATGAAATATTTCATTTGTGCATGGTATTGGAAAACATTCCTGGAACTGTGAACATAGCACATGATGCAACAAATATTATAATTTTATTAAATACACCGTCAATTCTGAAAAAAATCAAGTTTTAAAATTTAAATATCATGGGCTACAAAAAGTTTAAGTTAGTTGGTAAAGTCAACCAAAGATCAAGAGGCTGGCGAAACTTCCAAATCGACCCGCTCTCAAAAGTTAATGCATAATTTATATAACTGTATAGATTAATAAACCTAATCAAAGATGCTCTGTATATATTGGACCTGATAAAGTAGACTATAGATAGTTTACGTTTAAAGAATACATTTCAACAAGAAAAAAACATATGAAATTAGGTTACATAGTGCTCTGGGTATTAACCTGAAAATTATTGCATTTAAGATCTTTTAAAAATTTAAATTCTGGCATTGATCAGTCAAATCTTGTACATCAGTGTAATTCGCAACAGATTACCTTCCTTTCAAATATTGTCAATTTCATCAACCAAATTTAATACGGATAAATTCAGAATATTATACAGTGATAACCATGAAACTCTATAATATATCGACGACTTTTAGAGTCAAGATATAATTTAAAAATTATTATGAGCATGAGACACAGCAATTGTGCAATGTAAACAGACTTATTTAACTAAATAAGTGAATTAATAAGTGTCTAGACAAAACCGAGGAACTATTTCCCAAGTGGCAACTTCCATTATGTGCAATTTCCTATGTGGCAACTTTCCATAGGTTAGGTTAGGCCTTGCAATGTAGGCCTAGCACTGCGGCTAGAATGGGCTAGGGGCAGAGCGCTGCAGCTAGGATTGAATTGGGAGGTTGCCGCTTGGGAAATTGCACCATTGGGAATATACCCATGGGAAGTTTTTTCTTGGGGAAAAACCTTTTGGAAAATACCTAAGATCTATTAAACCTACCAAACCAGGAGCATTCCTCATCATCTAGTTGTATCCCTCCTCCTTCTCCGACCAGTAACTGTGGAATAGCGTAGGAAGAGAGAGAAAAGCAGAACCCGACTGTAAACAGACCTAGGTTTCCCACCTCAGCTGCAACAATCTGAAAGCGTAATTTCAATTCACAATGGTACCCTAGGAATCTTCATCTGATTTTGCTCATTAAAGATAACGCATCAGAAAATCGACGCAAATTTGACGCATTTTCTCGGGTACCAAAAGATAGTAACTAATGTCGTCTTCTCCAGAAAATTATATATTTACCCTGTTGACGTTTCATAATGACGTCTTTTGTAATGTATTAAATAGTTATTAAAAAACAAAACAAGGGGAATTCACCCAAGTTTTTCTATCTTAAAATATTTATTTTGTCCATTGTCCATAACAGTGACTAGTGGAAAAACAATGAACATAATTTACAGAATTCATCACTTTTTAAGATGACATAACCACAATATCTTCCTCATTTTTACCCAGATAAATGTTTAAATGGTACCGTTGTTGATAGTGTAGCGGGAAAATGATCGGTTGATCTTTCCTGCGATCAGGGGGGATAATGCCCCCCCCCCCCTCCACCCCTTGTGCAGACTTTTGAATCATAACGGTTTTAGTTGTGTTAACGTGATAATTCTAACAAGCCAAACAGATCTATAAATAACCCAAGCGACGCCGTTGTTCCGTTATTCCAGAGGGCGGGGGCAGGAGGAGGTGGCCGACCAGCCAGGGGAGCTAGGGTTAATATCTAGGCTAGGGTGGAGCAAAGCCTCGGGAAAAGGAGTTAGTTGTTGATCAACCCTTTCGATGGAATGAGAGGTGGAATAGCATCCTGAGGATCCATCTTACCCTGATTATTATTTATTCACATCGATCGTATAGTATTTTCTCATTTTATTAGTGTTTGTATAAAATAATAATAATAAATTGTAAAACCGTCTCGCTGAATATTTGATAATATGAGTTGTTGCCCTGAATTTTTAGCATATACTAAAATAGGACCTTTAATTTGAAATTATATCTGTCAGTCCCTTAGAACATTTACTTTTGGTTTGAAGTATATGAAGTGCTTATAAGAAGAAAATTAATGTCTCATATATCTTTAATGCAATTCCCAGAAAACAGAAGTGGATGATACAACTAGATGTCAACTAGTTGTTCTAAACTCCACTTCAAAACTCCACCTAAACTCGACTTTAACTCCACTTTTGAATTCCAGTCACCAACTGGGTGACATCTGGGTGCATAAACTCGACTTAAACTCGACTTTTTGAATCCCAGTTTTCACCGAGTTAGGGTGAAAACTGGGAGTTCAAATATCCACTTTAAAACTCCACTTTAACTCGTCTTAAACTCCACTTTTAAAATCCACTTGTCAACTGGGTGAAATCTGGGTAAATAAACTCGACTTAAACTCGACTTTTTGAATCCAATATTTTCCCAGTCATCAACTGGGTGAAATATGGGTGCATAAACTCCACTTAAACTCGACTTTTTGAATCCCAGTTTTCACTGAGTTAGGCTGAAAACTGGGAGTTCAAATATCCACTTTAAAACTTACTTTAACTCAACTTAAACTCCACTTTTAAAATCCACTTGTCAACTGGGTGAAATCTGGGTGAATAAACTCGACTTAAACTCGACTTTTTGAATCCAATATTTTCTCAGTCATCAACTGGGTGAAATCTGGGTGCATAAACTCCACTTAAACTCGACTTTTTGAATCCCAGTTTTTACCAAGTCAGGGTGAAAACTAGGAGTTCAAATATCCACTTTAAAACTCCACTTTAACTCGACTTAAACTCCACTGTTGAAATCCACTTATCAACTGGGTGAAATCTGGGTGAATAAACTCGACTTAAACTCGACTTTTTGAATCCAATATTTTCCTGGTTATCAACTGGGTGAAATCTGGGTGCATAAACTTGTCTTAAACTCGAATTTTTGAATTTCAGTTTTTACCAAGTCAGGATTTGGAACTAGGAGTTCAAATATCCACTTTAAAACTCCACTTTAACTCGACTTAAACTCCACTGTTGAAATCCACTTATCAACTGGTTGAAATCTGGATGAGTAAACTCAACTTAAACTCTACTTTTTGAACCACATATTTTCCCAGTCATCAACTGGATGAAATCTGGGTGCATAAACTCGACTTTTTGAATCCCAATTTTTGTGTCAATATATTCACGAAACCTCAACTGCACAAAAGTGCATTTTTAAGTGAGAATTTAATAATATTTGATGATTTTTTCAAAAGAACTGAGAGGTAAGAAATTTTATGCAACTATTTTGGTAAATACAATGTTTCAAAATTTCTATCATTTTGGAGTAAATCGATGCTTTCATTAGATTCAATGTCAGTAAATTCTTGATTTTTTGATAAATAGAAGTTCCACTTAGACAGTCTTGTAACAGGTTTAACGGTAAGTTAATACAGTATAACATATATTGATTATGTAATTGTTAAATATGTATGCTGTATGAATGTATGAGTGTTAATTTAGATTATTACAGACGGAGAATGATGATGGGGTGAAGAAGGATACTGGATTGGATTGGTGATATCTGCATGATATGTGGATGATATGTGGATGATATGTGAGTGATATCTGGATGATATCTGGATAATATGTGGATGATATGTGGATGATATGTGGATGTTATGTGGATGATATGTAGATAATATGTGGGTGATATTTGGATGATATCTGGATGATATGTGGATGATATGTGGGTGATATCTGGATGATATCTAGATAATATGTGGGTGATATTTGGATGATATCTGGATGATATGTGGATGATATGTGGGTGATATCTGGATGATATCTAGATGATATGTGGGTGATATCTGGATGATATCTAGATGATATGTGGGTGATATTTGGATGATATGTGGATGATATGTGGGTGAGGATGATATCTAGATGATATGTGGGTGATATTTGGATGATATGTGGATGATATGTGGGTGATATCTGGATGATATCTAGATGATATGTGGGTGATGTCTGGATGATATCTAGATGAAATTTGGATGATATGTGGACGATATCATCCACATTTCATATCACCCACATATCATCCAAATATCACCCACATATCATCCAAATATCACCCATTCTGATCAATAATGTGGATGATATTGGCATTTATCGAGGTTTAAAAGTGTTTATGACTGATAATTCTTATATGTTTTCCTGCAATAGAAATGCGCAAGTCACTTTTTTAGAGAAACCCCAATTGAAAATAAACAGAGCTGAAAACTTTAGAATGGGATATCTTTAATCCCCGATCGGTTAATTAATCTGGAGATTAATTACAAGAGGAGAACAAGCATTATTTTATCCTGAGATTAAGAAAAAGAGTGGATTAAGAATTAATCCCGACATGCACCATTCAAAAGTTCCCAGCTCAGTTTTAACAATTCTAAACATCACTATTTAATTTATAATTGTGAATCGGGCAATGCCTTCTTTGCAAGGAGGGTCTCTATCAGCCGGTTCTTTAAAGACTTTCATTGCATGTTTATCTTCAGTGAGAATTAGAAAAGTCTGGAATAGAAAGGCGGCTTGTAGACTTCAGGTATATAATGACAAGCTTAAATAGCCCATTCAACATCGAGACACAGCAATTGTAAAGTGTAAACCAACCCATTAAACTTAATAAGTGATTAAATAAATTACTAATACAATTATTCCTTTGTTAGAACATCAAAAACACTTGAGGATTACTATAATGTCGTCTTCTTATTCCAGAGTTTTCTGGTTCTCACTGTATATATAACAATTAAAAAGTAGTAATCTTTGCTTGTCTGAATTTAGTATGAGAGAGACGTATATCTAATATTCTGTTATTGATCAATTAATAGATTGGATTTCAACTAAAAGTGCTTCCATTTTAATCTTACAATATTTACGATTATGAAATTTAATCTCACTGACCTGAATATGTGTTTTTCTTTTCAAACAGAAGGGAAAGCCCGAGTTCAAGCGGGAAAATTGGGGAAAGGAAGATTTTTTTAGATTAAAATTATGTTGTTTTACTGATCTCTTTCTTGTCTTATCTGTTGATGCCATATTTGAATCTTTTTAAAAAAAAAACAGAACAGTTTTTAAAAGCAATGTTATGTAAGAGCGAGCGTGGTCTGTATAAAACGATGTAAGTATGTGCATGAGGGGGGGAGGAGGGATGGATCCCAAGTTGCAATATTAATGATCAAAATTAATAACATCATTAAAAACCTCTGGAGTCTAGATTAAAGGAATTAAGTGACTGGCTGTGATATAAAGGTTGCATAGCTCTCATGCCAAAATTGATGAGAATTTTGCCGAATACTTCTTTAAAACTAAAGCTAAAAACAAGTGCTTTAGAGTTCTACAATGATCATGTTCAGGGTTACGCACAATCATAATTGATTTGGAGCAGTAAAATCAAAAGCAAAGGCGTGGCGACACTTCAAAGTCGATCCTGTCTTGTAGGTTGATGCAACTTTTCATAGCAGGGGGAATCTATGTGAGTTAATAGTGATTGAGATTGCAATATTATAAAATGAAATATCAGGAGTCATGTTTATAACTATAAAGACGGAGAACTTGTTCTTCAAAACCCATGAGGCTGGATAATTCTAGAAAAAACATTCTTCATAAATAAACTTTACTGATAAGAACATATCTCTCAAAAGAAGTTCTAGATGATCGATGAAATAAAGGGTAGAGTCATCATTATCTTTAAATCTATCTTTTCTGCAAATACGCCAATTTATTACAGGATGTCCCACGAAACATGACAGTTGGTAAATAGTTTGTAGAATGTCTTCTTCCAGAATTTTTTAAACTGTTCAATTGGAAATACAATAATAAAAATATTATATAGGAGTCATATTATAGTAAAATTAAATTAAAAGTAAGATATATTTGAAAAAAAGATTTTTTAACAAAAAACTCTAAAAGTCTTTAATATCGAATACAGTGTATGGAAGACGACATTCAAAACAATTTACCAACTGTCATGTTTCATTGGGACACCATGGAGCTGCAGTCACTCCCTTTTAAGCAATAAGCATTCTATAGCGGTTTTTTCCCCGTAAATTGAGATTTTTTTTATCTTGTGAGGATCTTAATAATTTTCATGTCAAGTATGTCACAAGCGTTATAAATTTATAAGATTTCGACATAAGCAAAAGTAAATATCTCCGTTTTTTTTGATGAAGCAAATTATTATGAAAATTAAATTAGCAGGTTTAGGCTGAAGACCCTTAACAAGACTGATCCTGAAAGCTGTGTTAAGATTAAGAGTAAACCAGATTCTCAAATATTCGATTGAATTAAAAAAAACCATGCATGCATATTCAAATATGCAAAACCGGGTATATTAGGGCAGGGCAATGATCCGATAATAAATGTCATTTGTATTGATTAAAAGAAGATTTTTTATGGACAAATAATTAAAAAATAATTTTTAAAGTTTTTTTTCAAATGAACTGAGTTCTTGCCAGAAACTCTGATTTTTAATCCTTTAAATTTGCAATCCAATGTCACTTCATAGACCTTTAGATTTTTCAAATTTTTAATTCAAAAAACCTAAGTTTGAAATATCAAAGGTTTTCTCCATTAGGTTGCTAAGATATAGGGATTTAAGTTTATGGCATAAAAGCAGCCCCTTTAACCTTTCAGGGTTTAGGATTTAACAGTACAGTAAGTTAAGAAATGTTAGAATTAACTTCAGTTAACGCCTCTAAACATCTGATACACAAATAAACAATCAACTTACCGAACATAAACCCTTTAATTGAAGAAAAGCCAATTGACGAGAAGGTGTACTGGATAACCCTAATAGTAATATACGAGAAAGTGGACAGAATAACCCTAATATATGAGAAGGTGGACTAGATAACCCTAATATACGAGAAGGTGAACTGTATAACCCTAATATACGAGATGGTGGACTGGATAACCTTTATACACGATAAACCTGTCTAAACGTGCTCCAAAGTATAACGGTATAAATTACCAAGGCATTTTATGCTATGTACTTTTGCAAGATGTGACCTAGATTAAAGAACCAACTAGGATTATTATTAATTAAGACTGAAAGGGACTGTAGACGTAATTTCAAGAGACCCTCTAATTAAATAATGGCTTGGTCGATGCACAACTCTATAATCTGAGAATAAATCCTCAAAGTAAGCATTTTTTTAAAACCTTAAAGGGAGTGTTCGCGAAAAATTAAAGGAGGTACAGGCTTAATGCGATAAAAAGCGCTTTTGATCGCTACTAATCTTACTTCTATCTGTCTATAAGGAGAAAATTGTTAAAAGCGACTAATACCGAAGAACGTAGTGTCCATACTAGGAAGATGCAAAATAGTCATCATTTATTTTTCGACGCATTCGTAAATAGTTGATATTTTATATTATTTTAAATTATTCATGATCTGAGAATTACTTTTGAAAACATTTATTCCTGTTTCGAAGATTTTTGATAATGAAGACGACATTTTCATATTTTCCAGGAATGTTCGAAAATCCAGCGCCAGCGAAAATTATTAAAAAGAAATAAAAAATATTATGAAATATTAACTATATACGAGTGGGTCGAAAACGATGACTACTGTTTGTAATACCTGAATGATTTGTTTGGAATTAAATTGATTTCAACCGAACATAAAAATGGTTCAAACGAGCAAATAAACGTAGTTCAAATTAACATAAAAGTTAAATGAACCAAACATATTAACATATTAACATATTTTAGGTATGGTAAACTTTTCATTTAGACTATGTTCATTTGAACTATTTATTTTGTTCTATTGAACGATTTTTTGATCATTTGAACTATATTTTTTGTTTATTTGAACTTTTGTTTTTTATGCTCAAATGAACAGAATAACGTTGTACCAGGTGCGGTAGTTCAAACAGGATAGTTACAAAGACGATATCTAGATCGTCCATCAATGTTTATTGGCACACCTTGTATCTCAATTGTCTTCTAGTATCGAGATCCTTACAATCAAGATTAACCGTCGGAAAAAAGTGTGTTTTGATACTTTGCTAAAATGCAAATTATTGCAAGTTGTGCAATAGTATTTATTTGCATTTGCAATAATACGCAACTTAGGTTATTTTTTATTGTTGTCTATCTATGAGATAAAAAGTTAATTCAATTTTATGTTAACCTAATCAGATATGCAACTTATAGGGTACAGGGGCGTGCTATAGTATTAGTTGGGGGGGGGAACTTTTTGCGAATGTTTTTATTAAATTGATACCTTTTTGAACTATGTAAACTATTCGATCATATACACACTTCCATATAACAAGCGTTTATTAAGTGGACTCATCAGACCCTCATCAGACCCTGTAGGTATAAAATGCCCCAGTTTTATAAAATAAAAGTATATGTCAAGTTCTAAGGTAGTGAGATTCATAAAAAAAATAAAAAGTGAGATTTGAAAATCCAAATGAGAATGAAAAATTTTAATTTTATTTTCAAACTGTGGTATTGGCGGTAGTGAGATTTGAGAATTCAAAATGAGAATATAAAATTTAAATTTTTATTTTCAAACTGTGGTTTTGGCTTAATACTGTGGTGTAAGCTTCAATGGGTAAAAAATAGAGATGGAAACGTTTCTTAAAAATATCCATATTTTCATGGAAACAATACATATTGTATAATTATAAATAATGAAATAAAAGATATAATTACACCGAAGGCAGTATTGAGTATTGACCAAAGCTTTTATAATAAACTTTTTTAGTTAAGGGCAAAAGTGAGATTTTAAAGTATTTTTTATATGGGTGCCCCTGCATATNGGGGGGGGGGCCGCCCCTGTTAGGGAATATCTTTTGAAGGTGGGGGTAAATGAAAACGTAAATTTACAAAACTTTCCATTTTTAATCTCTGAGAGAAACTGGACATTGCAGGAGGCCAACTAACTGCCCCCATTTTGCATTTCTTAACTTTTATTTTACTTGCAATAAAAGATCACATAATCTTGGTTTAAAATTAATTTTATATTTACAATTTGCAAAACTGGTTTAAAATCAAATAAAAAAGTTCGAATCGATTTTTTATTAAATTTTACTGGAGTTACTAAGAATTTCTACAGTATATTGCACTTTACCACAACTTCTCTAATTACTAAACAAATATAGGGTGTCCCACGAAACATGATAGTTTAGAATGTCTTCTTCCATAATTTGTTAGGTTGATTGATACCAAAGACAAGAATAATAATATTATATGGGAGTCATATTAAAGTAAAATTGATTTCAAAGTAAAATATATTTGAGCAGAAGATTTCATTTATCAAAATAAACGGCAAAAAGCCTTTAATATCATAATACAGTATATGGAAGACGACATTCGAAACTATTTATCAACTATACATGCTTCGTGTTCACCCTGTATGTTTAAAATTTTTTATTTGTAACCAAATAAATATGCTTTTCTGTTAATTGTTAATTGTGTGTAAAATCCAAACTATAGAGGCTACAAGGTCACAAAGTCTTGCTAGTCATGTCTCCCTCATGTATAGTTTGCAATTTCATGTTAAAGATAAAACAAAAATTGTCAAAAATTCTATAATTTTACCAAACCAAGTATGATTAAAGATAAATTGTTAATGTTAATTGACATGTTGTTACGGTTTTCAATAACATTTTTGTTTACTATGAACTGCAGATTTTGTAAAGAACAGTGAACATCTTCATATACCAATTTACCAAAGTAAATTCTCATGTCAGACAGAGTTATCCACTGAAAATCCACAATCGACAATAATTAATTTTTAAAGAGAAGAGGATAGATATCTCATGCATACTTGTCGAGACCAAGGTTTCAGGCTGTAATTTTGACACAATGACTACAGATTTTAAAAACTAAAAAAATTCTTTCATCTCAGTTATATTTTAAAGGTGCATAGAATGGAGTAAGGAAAAGAAGGGATAACTGACGCGGCCCGGCCTACCATATGATTATACATGCTTATTTGCAGACGGTACTTCAGAAGTACTTCATTTTTATAAGAAATATTCAGAATAGGCAAGAGAATCCAGTCTATCCTGAAGAACAGTGCATCAGTCCTGCCTCACCACTCTGCAGTTCCAGCCACAAAACCAGATCAGATCCCTTTAAGTTTAGTTTCTTGTTCTCATGTTTTAATCGGAGAGGATGCATCAAAACCTCCATTGTCTCCGTTATATAGAGGGCCATATCTAGTTCTTTCCAAGTATCCAAAGTATTTCCTAGTTGAAATTGGTTCCAAGTCTGACTCTGTCTCTGTGGATCGGCTTAAACCTGTAATCTCTGATCACCCAGTTACTCCTCAGCAGCCTCCCCGGCGTGGAAGACCTCTGTCATCTCCAGCTCCGTTAGCTCTGGCTCCGTTAGCTCCGGCTCCGTTGTCTTCTGCCTCTCCAGCATCTCTCCAGAGAGCCCCGGGAATGAAGAAGAAGGTTCGGTTTTCACCTCAACAACTTTCTCCTCTCCCAGTGCGTAGGAACCTGCGAAGAGAAGTCCGGGATAACCATCGAGTGCTTCATCATCTTCATCACCTCAATGCTGGGGGGACCCCTGTGGAGACCCTAGAATATCTTCTTCTTCCCGGAAGCTCTGTAAACCAAACCAAATATATTTACTCAGTTTTTTAGATACCGTGTTACAAGTTAGAACAAAATATATATTCAGACCGTTTAAGACTTTGTTATTTTGCGTCGCTACAAACCCTCATTTTAATTTACTCTGAAATGCAAAAGTATAGATATTAAAATTCACAGATTTAGGTCTTCTCAAGGCTATGGCTTAAGTGGGAATGATTTCATTCTCTCGGTCCTCAGCTTCCTAGCTTCTCATCAGTTCTTTAGATTTAAATAGACTGTTCCTGACTATTTAGATTGAACTTATCTATCTATAGCTGAACTAAGAGAATATAGACTTTAATATGGTTTACCCATACTTAGAACTACATGTGGCTCGATTATGTACAATGTATTTGTTAAGGTAATTCAGAAGCATTTTTGAAGACTGCCTAGTGGCTACCTGATGAGAGCAAAATTAGGGATGGTCAAAATTAATTTTTTGATAGTAATCTATTCTAACTTTTAACAAACTTTTCGTAATTTTCTTTATTCTTCTATTGTTTTCCAACAATATTTCCATAAATGATAAAATACATATAGAGTTGGATTAAAATATTATTTTTAACAAGTTTGTGAGTAGGAGATGGTGTGCAAAATTTGATGGGACACTAATGATCTATTTACAAAGAAAAACATTTTGCACCTTCGTGTGTAAATCAGGAGACAGCTGAGTTTCCTGACACTTTGTCTAATTGTAACCATCAATCCATAGTACAATGTTCTCAAGAAAATCTTCATCTTTTATGCAATAATACTATTAAAATATTTGCCGAAAAAAAAATGAAGTAGACTGAGAAAAAAACTTTTTCAAAACCAGTGATTGTGATTGTAGAATAAATTTTTTGTTATCAATAAAAGTTTGATGTCATCATGCACAAAGTTTTTAAATCTAGGTTTATAGACTGTTTTTTATCAAAGGAACTAAGGAACTAAGTTTAAGCCGTATATCTTTACAACTTGATGGACTTTCATATTTAAAACGACATGAATTTGAGTTTTGGCAAAAACTCTGATTCTTTATTAATTTTTCTCTATAGAGAGAGCAACAATTTTCTGAGCTTTGATGTAAATATTCCTGGAAAAAAGTAAAGCTGAAGTACTACAGTATTTAGGAGGTGTTTTTATATTTTAGATATAAAAGGCATGACTTGTAAGATTAAGAGCGAGGGGACATAACCCCCCCCCCCCTTATTTTTTTTATCAAATAGGTATCTCTTTTTTGAAAAAAATCAACCTGTCACTTCTTGACTTTTAGAAAAGAGTCATTTTTTACAGAGCCGGAGTTGTCAAGGAAAAATCAAAAATACCTCAGAACTTAAAAATAATTGAGTTCTGACCCGTAAATGTTCTACTTGAACTCCCCCCCCCATAATTCTCAAAATAAAATTCACTCCTTATAATTATAAAATCCATTAAAACACCAAACCACCCCGCTTATCATTGAAGTACACTTTGACCCCTAGAAGTATGAGTTCCCGCAAGGGGTTAGGCCAGAATCTCCTTACAACTAACAAATATGCAGTACGCTCTCGGTATAGTTTATGGCCTATACAGTTAGTAAAGGATTAGCTTACATCATCACTCTATACACTATAACCTCGTTGGCCTTGTTGGATCACTTGACTACTGGTTCAAACACCGTGGTGACTTTTGACAAAAGTAATGATTTAATGTTCACATTTTTAGATAAGAACTAAGAAAAATCATACTCGTCTTTTAATGTTTAATCCCTTGCACTGGTTTTTCTGCTCTTAAAATTGAGCTTATTTTTACTGTTAGTTACTATTGTTTTGTAGTCCATTAGAACAAAGATGTTGTACATCATTTATTTTAAATTCAAAAGAATCAAGTTAGTTGTACCTAAATTATGGCTACAACGTTTTTATCCTTTTTATAACTAATTCCTTTAAAATAAATCCAATATCACATTATATTTTCATTATTTTAAAAAACTGTCACATTATTTTGATGATTTTTTATTCCTTAACTACCTCGCTTGAGCAAATTGATTTACTTTTCTAAGGACCAGATAGACTTAGTTGAACCACACAGACGAGATTCAAATATTCCCTTCAGCTTTAACAAGAGAAGTTGGTTAACATAGTCAACACAGTTCAACCAGTTAGGTTAGGAGGCTAATGTAAATAAGGTATAAAATTTTTATCAATTATTAGAAACATTTTATACCTAAGGACGGATCTAGAATCTATAAAGTATTTAATTATGTATTTTACTAAATATGCTTCATATTCTTACTTTGGAATGTTTTGTGTTCCAAAAATGTTACATACATGATTTTGTTCCATAAGATCAGAAATTTTGGTAATTTCCTAGAGAACGATTCCTATCAATTTTTACATGATCTCATATGTAACACATGGATATAATTGATCATGTTGCCGCAGCACCCGGCCCCCCGGCCTGTACTAGCCGCGGCACTCGGCCCATAGCCTGTCCTAGCCGCAGCGCTTGGCCCCCTAGCCTGTCCTAGCTGCAGCGCTCGGCCCAGAAATTGTCTTAACCTAACCTAACCTAACCCTAAATAATAAAAAATAATAATACATTTGCTGAAACATAAGTGGTCATGTACAAAATTGATAGGAGGGGAAGGGGGGGGAGGTCTAAAAATTGTTTACTAGGACGGACCCGAATTTTTTATATTTTTAAATTTTTACTGTCAGCTGTACACAAAGGTGTTTTTAAATACCCGTTTACTAACTAAAAATAGTTAGTCTTTAGTTTGCCTAACATGTAAAAAACTAAAATTTCAAATACAGAGGCAAACCTTATTAAACTTTGACGTGATATTTTTGCCAAAAAGAGTGAACAGTGCTAAAAATGTAAACATTTGATTGATTTCTTTCAAATAATATGTAAATTTTAAGAACTGCATGCCGCCCATAAGTGCAATTTTTACAAGTCCGTCTGGTCTCAATAGTCAATATATCATTTCTAAAACCAGTGACCCTCTTTAAAAATATATATTTTTTTATAGTCATAGAGACTTTGTCAGTTCTAAAAAAGTTCATAAAGAATGAATTAAAAAAAAATTTACTGCGCCTTTTAAAAAGTTTGAAAAATCAACTTACCTAAAAATGTAATTTGAGTAAACAAACTTTATAAAAAAAAAGGTTGACATAATCATAATTGACAATTCTAATTCATTGGCTATAGTAAACATCCTGTTCAGATATATCTTGCGAGCATGACCAAATTGTAAAAAAAGATTGACATACCACATTTTCATGACAACATTTATTATTTAAAGAAATGGTTCCACATTTAAAACATTATGGATTCATGCTAAAATTAACAGTTTTCTTTTTACGTGTAAAATTGCATATTTCTTCTGCACCGCATTTGGTGATAGGCATCAGTTTTGACAAATAATCATCCGAATCCTGCTCTCTCTCGATTTCAAACACTTTCTTGTTCTCAAAATTTACAAATTTTTGATTATTTGTATTTTTGTTTCGCGGTTTTGGAAGGCTGTTACAATCTGATAAAAAGTAAAGTGGTAGGCGATTAAATCAATACAATGAAGACGACTTTTATATTTTAGTTTTGATTGTTAACAAGCTTTTTTCAAATTACAAGTTTACAAGTAATCAAAAAGAAGCAGTTTTGATTGACAGCTTGTCTTGACTTCTATGTTTATGTGTATTCACTATCCATGCTGTTTAACAGCTTAATATAAATCAAAATTGAAATCGAAAGTCGTCTTCGTTATATTGATATAATCGCATACCACTGTACATAAATTAAATTTAAAGGTTATATAATTTCAGGGGACATTAGTTCTAAGCCTGGGTTATGGCCATCTTTTAACACTGACTGTTAGCACAAATTTAAAGATCATTATTTACAATTGCTTTGCAGGGCAGTTGACCCAGTCTTAAAACCGATGCAATTTTTTCATAGCAGTCCGGATCTGTATGTTATTTTTGATATGAGGGAGGAAACCCTAGGAGCCCATGAGCCTCGGCTATGCAGACACGAGCCTTCCAGATTTGCTAGGCAGACCGAGCCTCCGCTATGCGGAAATGAGCATGCACAATACATAAAAATGTGCCAGTGTAAAACAGGAGATTTTTAAGCTTGTGTTTTAAGTTTGAATTAAAAGATTTTTTTCAACTTTTTTCGATATTTTTCTGGGG